TTATAATATCTGCCTGGTTCGAATCCTTTCTGATTTTATAATATCTGCAGCGTAGCTGAGGCAAAACCAGAGACACCCCTGGCGAAGATCCAAATTTAGAGGCCAAATTCACCTCTAAGGCTCTGGTTTTTACTGGTGCATCAACCAGTATAACTCATAAATGGGGATTACTGCCCATTATTCTCACTGTCACTGCTCCAAGACCATAATAATTTATAATAATTTCACAGTGTTTGCTGAGTACCTACACCCAGTAGTAACTGTAAGGACTGTTAAAAGAAACAAATGCACCCTTTAATCTACTCACTGCAAAAACACTACGAGGAAAGCTAAAAACCAGACCACGAAACAGCACTTAAAAATTGTTTAAAATGATCAAGAAAGTGAAGAATGAAAGGAATATTATCCTTGAAGACAGTATTTCAGTGCAATGGTGCAAGTCCAACAGCTGGCAGTAGATGGAGCCCTGGTTTACAGGATAAGCCAGGCTTGGAAAACGCTGCTCCTTCAGCTCCTCTGATTCAAACATCTTTGTAAAGGCTTCTCGTTTTTTCTGGAGCTTTCAAGGGGTGCTGGATGTCCCTTGTTTCTCAAATAATCTGGTTTTATGTGGATTATCAAGCACACACTTATGTGATGAAAGCACCGAGACTGGTGTTAAAAAAACAAGCTTCTCACTTTGAGAAAAAGTCAATTTTTGCAAAACACTCATGACTAAAGCTTTTGCAGCTGATTGTTTTTTAAAAAAGGTGAGAACTTCTGCAAGTTGCCCCCCCAAAATTAAACCTCCCAGTGCGGCACAAACATCATTTGTATTTGTAGGAACAAAAAAATTTAATGCTCATCCCCACAGAAGCAAAAAATTTCACCTCTGAGTGTGACCACATTGACTTCAAAACAGGACCTTTCTAAAAGCAGTTGATGAATTAAGCAGAACCCCAAAATTACTTTTAAAAAAAGCTCATCAATGAGGACTAAATATGTCAGTGAACAGAAAGGACCCACCTATAATATATATAAATAGTATATATATTATATATTTATATAATATATAAATATTATATAATTTATATAATATATAAGTATTATATATAATTACATAATTATATTATGTATTGTATATTATATATTATATATTATATAATATATTATATATTATGTATAATTATATTATATATAAGTATTATATATTATATAAAGTATTATTTATAAAATATATAACTATAATATAATTTATATTATATATATTATATATAATATATAAGTATTATTTATATAATACATAAGTATTATATAATTTATATAATATATAAAAATATATAATATATTTAAAGTATGAATGAAACAACACAAAACCATTTCAGACTAAAAAGAAGCCAAATTGAGGGATTTGGTCCAAAAATTGAATAAAAAAGAGCATCCCAAGGATGAGGATCCTCAAGAGCAGGTTCAGCCCAGTGCCCCGAGTGAAACTGTGCTGATGGAAAAGTGTGTTTGTGCAGAATTCCCTCTGCAGAACACACAGGCATGCACAACACACATCAATCCTGGTTGATTAAACAGGACCAAACCCATCTAATAACACGAAATAAATAATCTGATGCCTTTGGGGGCAAACATTCACCCACACAGCTGACAACGTCGAGCACATCCCAGTCACTGACTGCTGCAAAGGGTATAATAAAAGAGAAAAATCTAATTTCAAGTGTCTGCTCATAATTACACACTTCAGGGCAAGTGATGATTTCAAGGAAAAAGGTGAGAAAAGAGGGAAAATCTCCTACACTCACTTGTAGGTGATGTTGAAGCCCGTGAGGTTGTAGGCAGCATCACTGAAGAAATGTAGGAGAGCATATCCAGAAGTAGCCACAACTTCAGGGACTGTTTCATTGCTGTCCTTCTCGGGGACAATGAGACCACTGGAAAGGAGAAAGAAAATAAAACATGGTTAAAAGTAATAAAAAAGGGAGCAAAGCAACAAAAGTGCATCGGTACGAATAAAACTATGGAAATTCAATGTATTTGCATTATTTGAAGTATAATAACTTCATGGGATCATAAATAAATGTATTTAAAGTGTTTAACCTGAGTGAGCTTGAAGATGTCAAGAATTCCAGTTATTCCTGTCAAAAGCCTTTCCCTGCCTTGTTGTTCTGCCATGATTTTAGCAGGACCCACTCATAAACAAAGAGGCATGTTTGGAAACAGAAACCAGTGTGTCCCAAAAGAGTAAAATCTGCACTACCAAGCCAAACTAAAGGTCTGCTGCGCCCAGGATGTCCCTCCTGAGTCTGTCTCTACAGCAAATTCTTAGGAAAGGTTGTTGCAAAGCCATACAGAGCATTTTGGTGATGTGTTCTACAGCTTCCAGAACCCAGTCCAGGTGCTTTGACCTGGAGAAGGCACCCAAGTCAGCACAGTTAAATAAACTATCCATCCATGCTTCCATTCAGTTCCTTTCTCAACCATTGGCACCCTTTTCAGCTGGAAAATCTGCAGCAGGGAGGTCAAAAAATGTAACTCTGCAACAGCGGAGAAAGGATCATTTTACTCGTTTTACACTTGCTGCCTCTTGGGCTCCTTTTCCAGGAGAAATATGGACAATCAGCCACGGAATCACAGACTGGTTTGGACTGGAAAGGACCTTAAAGACCATCCAGTTCCAACCCCTGCCATGGGCAGGGACACCTTCCACTAGCCCAAGTTCCTTCAAGTCCAGTCCAACCTGGCCTTGGACACTTCCAGGGATCCAGGGGCAGCCACAGCTTCTCTGACCAACCTGGCACAGGGCCTCCCCACCCTCACAGACAGGAATTCCTTCCCAATATTCCATCTAATCCTGCCCTATGGCACTGGGAAGCTGTTCCCTGTGTCCTGTCCCTCCATGCCTTGTCCCCAGTCCCTCTCCAGCTCTCCTGGAGCCCCTTCAGGCCCTAAAAGGGGCTCTCAGCTCTCCCTGGAGCCTTCTCTTCTCAAGGGGAACCCCCCCAGCTCTCCCAGCCTGGCTCCAGAGCAGAGGGGCTCCAGCCCTGGCAGCAGCTCCGGAGCCTCCTCTGGACTCTCTCCAGCAGCTCCACGTCCTTGTGCTGTTGTTCCCAGGGCTGGAGCAGCTCTGCAGGGGGGTCTCAGCTGAGACAGGGGCAGAGGGGCACAATCCCCCCTGCCCTGCTGGCCAGGGGCTCTGGGCTGGTGCATCTCCAGCCTCTCACCCACCAACACCCCCAGGTCCTTCTCCCAGGGCTGCTCTCCATCCCTCCATCTCCCAGCCTGTTCTGATACTGGGATTGCCCCAGCCCAATGCACGTGGCCCTGCTGAACCCCATGAGGTTCCCACACAGTCCCACCTCTCCAGCCTGTCCAGCTCCCTCTGGGATGCCATTGCATCCCTCAGGGCTGTCAACCACACCACATCTTCCTGCCACCCCTTCTTTTATAAAGCTCCACCTGACCCATCACATCCACATTTTTTGTCTTTTCTGTCAGCCTCTCACACTCCTGACTCTCATTTCATTCCTCTTGCTTCACACTTCTGGACACCTCTGGCTGTTTCTCTCACCCTTCTAAGGCTCTGCAAGATCCTTCTAAACTTTCAGTTAAGCAAGATTTTAGTTTTCCAGGGTCGACAGAGAGAACTGAGGATGGTGGGCAAGATTATTTACAGTATTCCAGCCTGGACACAGTATGGTTTTATATAATGGCTTGCCAAAATAACTGGAGTAAAAATAGTGGAGAGCAGGAGACTAAATGAGTTTTGAAAAAAAAATAATTACTACCTATTTACCTATTGCACTGAGCAGGGAATGTTTATTCTTCTTTTTACAGAAGCTTGACAACAACCAAATGAATTCCTCCCTCACAGGAAGGACATCAGAGCAGGTGTAAATTGGAAGTTTTTGGAAGTTTTTAAAAGCACAGCACAACGTCAACCACCCCCTATCCACAGTCAGCTGCTGTTTCCCTGTACAGATCCATCTTTCCAAAGGAAAAGTCGAAGCTTTGTGACAAGGGGAGGTTCCCAAGTCCCAGAGAGGAGCGTGTCAGGCAGGGAAAAGGAGGAAGCTCCAGCCACTCTCCCAGGAAAGCAGCCAAGCCTGGTCCTGTGCCCTGGACTTCCGAGTATCCAAGGCCACCACCCACCAAAAAGCAACAATGAAAAGAATTTTTTCCCCCTTGAAAAGGACTTTACTTTTCCTCTTTTCACATCTATTCAGAACAGAAAGAAATGAGGTAGAAGGCAGTTCCCCAGGAACTGTAAATGAGCTTCTGCACCCAAGGAAAGCACCCAACTATCCCCAGCATCCGCTCACACTGCCTGGAAAGCACTTTTTGGTGACCTGAATTAAACAGTGCTGTGCTCAGTGAATAGCCCAGGCACCCAGTGATCCTTTTTGCTACAGATTTTGGGCTGTTTGCACCAAAAAATCCCAGATGAAGTGTCACCTATGGCGGGGTCGCCCTGCAAACTGCAAAACAAGCCTTGTTGTGGACACAAAGATATCTTTCATTTTACCAACAGGCCATAAAATTGCTGGAACTGATCCCATGTTTTGGCTAAACAACTCCAGCACCTTTGCTCAATAAACATTTCCCTGAGAGGAAGGCAAGTTTCCAACCCTCCCTCCTTTCAAATCCCAAGGATATGGGAATAAAATGCAAAATCAAGTCCTGGAAGAGGTGCCTGTTTGATTCCCAAATTTAAAACTTCTGATCTGAAGTTTATCCCTCCCAAAAGATCACCTCCCAAAGAGCAAAAAGCCTAATCAACTTCTTGTTGGGTTCATAATATTCCTTCGTAATGGGAACTGCAGGATGGTGCTTCTGCTCCACAGGAAAACAGACATTCTGAATGTAATTCAGGATAAGGAAAACTGCAGCTCAGGGACAAGAAAAAAACTCCTTTGTTCTGGTTTCTTCTTCAGCACTTATCTCTAAAATTACAGGGCAAAATAACTGGAAGGCCCTGGAGAATGGGAATAACAGCAGTAAAGAAGAAAAGTAGAGAGAGAAGACAAAAATCCCCCTCAATAATCTTTCCTAATAAAAGCGCTATCACAGGACAATTACTTGTTTTCTCCTGGAAATCTCAATTTGGGGATTTGTTTGGCAAGAACACAAGTACCTCCATGGCTGATGTTCTCACCACATCTCCCAACTGCTCCCTTATTTCCATCCATTTCTGGTGTGTAAATAACTAAAGGGACGTTATCCCACCCACACAAGTTGAAAACAACCAGAAGAAAATTAATCACAGAATCTCAGAAGGGTTTGGGTTGGAAAGGACCTTAAAGACCATCTTGTCTCAAACAAAACAGGGACACCTTCCACCAGACCAGGTTGCTCCTGACCTTGAAAACTTCCAGGGATGGGGCTTTGTAATTCCTTTCAGTGAAAGCCGCCGGAGAGAACACAACACAAAGATAAGGATCAGATCCTTGAAAGGTTGAACCTCCAAAAACCATGAATAAATCAGCACCACGCTGCACAAACCAGCACAAACAGAATTCACACTTTCTGCCACCACAAAGAATCCAACAGGCAGACTGAGAATGATACAGGATTATGCAAAACTTCCTTTAAACTCTGCTCCAGACTCCCTGAGCAGCCCGGCTCTGGCCAGGATTAGGCTGTTTCACAACACGCCGCTTTTATTTCTTTTCATAAGGTTTCAAAACATTTCGCAACCGCTGCTACTCCAAAGCAAACAAACACTCCCACTCAGCACGGCTGCCCAGTGACAGCCAGGAAAGGCAAACCCCTGCTTCCCACTGGAATTACTCCTCTTTTTCTGTCAGCTGGATGTGTGGAGTCAGTGGCACGGTGAAAACGATGTCACAGGATCGTGGATTCATGGAATGGTTTGGGCTGGAAGGGACTTTAAGGATCATCCAGTTCCATCTCCCTGCCATGGGCAGGGACACCTTCCACTAGCCCAGGTTGCTCCAAGCCCCATCCAACCTGGCCTTGGACACTTCCAGGGATCCAGGGGCAGCCACAGCTTCTCTGGGCAACCTGTGCCAGGGCCTTGCCACCCTCACAGCCAGGAATTTCTTCCCAATATCCAATTTAAACCTACTCTCACTGTCCACGTGAAGCCATTCCCCCTTCTCCTGTCATTCCATGCTCTCATAAATAGTCCCTCTCCAGCTTTCTTGGAGGCTCCCTGCAGGTACTGGAAGGCCACAATTAGGTCCAGGAGATCCAACTTCTCTACTGCCCTGTTCTCTCCTTTACACCATGAAAAAATGAGAATTATTTTTTAAAATTATCTAAAAAAAAAAGGGATCTCTTATTACTGTCCCTGGATTTGCTCTGTGGGCATCACGGTGCTGGTGGATTCCTCATTTCCTCCTGAGACACAACCTGTCAGAGATCAAAGGCATGAGAAGCTCTGCTGAGAAGAAAACAGGAAAAAGTGGGAATCATGAAAGGGAAGGCAGAAAATACAGAGCACAGGAGTCAAAGCATGAGGGTGGTACTGAAAAAATCAGCTTTGCAATCTATCAAAATCCAGTGCAAACCAGTTATCCTAATTTTTAAATGCTCTGATCCATCTGGACACACCTGTGCACAAAATGACACCATTTCTCTCTTATTAAAAAACCAGTCCATGCTCCTCACCTACATTGGGAACTGCAACAGTAAAAATAAACCAAAAATAGATGTTACAAGAGACCAACAATAAATCAATGGTGAAAAATAAAAAGGGGAAATAAGGAGACATCTCAAATTTATTGTCTGAAATGAAGCAAGATGACTCTCAAACATGGACTTTTAAGGAAATAAAGCCATTGGAATGACACTCATTAAAAAAAAATAAAAACAAAAGAGAAGAAAGATTCATTACAGAGCTGGCAACAGCCCAAAGCACAAAATTCTTTGAAACCATCTCCCCTTGTACAGACAGACCCAGCTGCTGCAG